CTTTGAAGACCGTTAATTGTATTGGAGTCCAATATCCACAATTGGGCATTGTGGTTTTATTGGCATATAATTTTTCTCCCTAAACTATGCTCATTTTTAAAGAAGCTGCCTTAAATCCAGTTTTAGTTTAGTCTGATTATTTGCATAAGCACAACTAGACTCGTAACTGAACAGATCACACAGGCTTTTTCAAACCTGCTTTGCTGGAATCTTTCACAAAGAATCTTTAGACTGGGCTACAGTCAGCCCCTCAGTGCAAAGAAGCCAACTCACATTTGCCATCCGGCTTTGCCTGTAATACCTGTAGGTTTGGGTTAATTCTTCACATTCTTGAGGTTCCCAAAGACATCTTGAGGTTTCTTTCTTGTCATCTTTCAGGAAAGCAACTTTGTCCCTCACCTGGAAAGACTGCTATGAACCACAAAACCAAGCAAGGTATTAGGCCATGTCTGTAGTGGCTTTCATTGGCTTTTATCAGCTCTGAGAATCGATCTCAATTCCTTAAGGCTTTCTGGTGATATCCAGAGTCCAGGCATGTCTCTCATGGCATTCCAGTCAAAGTCTTGGTTAAAAAGCCCAGACGTGAAGACTGGTCTTATGCAAAGAAACGTGATGCCATGGCTCACTCATTAAAAATTGCCAAATTCTGGAGAGATCAGGCAGGGAGAAAAAGCTAAAAGTAAGCAATTAGTATGTCCAAGATTGGCAAACACATTCCATATTTTTTGGAAACATGGGCTCTTTTCTGGCAAACATAATGACACTTTTAGAGACATGTTTTCATAAAGACAGGTATCATATAGGAAACTTACTGATTTAGCAAATCACAGGTGAGCTGAGTTAAACTGACTGGCACAGACAGCTTAGGCTCAGATAAGATCTGTTTCTCAGAATCTGCATTCCAACAGATGGCTCAGATAAGAGTTCTTTGAGACCAGGTATTAACACTTTAAAGACAGACAGTTCTTTTCTTGAAAAATCCCAGAATAAAACTCCTTTCCAGAGTATGTACTCTCGGGGAATTGAGATTGTCTTACTTATTGACTTTGGGGGAAAAAACTAAAAAAAAAAATAACCTAACCTCCTCTGGATTAGAGGGAGATTTGATAGCTGGAGGAGGCATGAACGTCTTCTATGTCTCCCAGCTTCCTGTCATAGACCAGAATTCGGATTGATTTGTGACACCTTGCTGGTCATGGCATCCCATGACCCGTCCTACCTAAACTGACTGGGCGATTTGAATGTGCCCACAGCCTGAAGTCCCTTCCCATTCCCCCAGGAACAGAGACTCTTCCTAAAACAGTAATACAACTGTCCAGGTGTGGGGCCTTAAACTCCATAGATTCTGATGGCCTCTGACCTTACTGGAAGTCTTTACCTTTTACTGTCTTGGGTAGAAAATGTTTAGCTTTTAATTGGGCTAGAGGAAGGGAGAAAAAACATCCCCTATTAAAGTAGCAAAACAGAGATTTAACACCTGGGCCCTGGGGTTAAATTCTGTTTGCAGTCAGTTTCCAAGATTAGTTAATAAAAATCTTTCATTTTTCTGAGCACCTGTACATGATGCTTTTTTTCATTAGTTATACTTGTGGAAGAAGCATTAATGCTAAGCAGCAATGTTTGTATAAGCAGTAGTGTTTGTAACAGAAACAGTATCAGTAGAGATTATCAGGTGAAAAAGTTATAGTGTTTTAGTTCTATTGTCTGTAGGACTCTGAATGGGTGGGTATCAATAAACATTTGTTGAAAGACTTTAAAACAAAAAAAGAATGATAAACCTGTATCTCTATAGTAACAGTTTTCTGGAAGATAGAATAGTGAAAAGCCGGAGTGTTCTATGGACTTATAATTGAAGATGTACATGATGAAACATCTGAGACCAGGTCACAGACCTTGGCTGCTGTCATCAGCTTTATATTCATTCTAAGACTGCATGAAATATAATCCTGTTCCTTCAGTTCTCTCTAGAAAAGAAATATGGGGATATGTGCACTCCAGATATCTTTTAGGAGACACTATTAAGTATTCCATCCTGAAGGAAAGGATGCTTAATGTTTAGGATATTTTTCTCTGAAAGTGTTTTGGAGAATGAGGAAATGGGTAGTTATGCCACTCTTAAAATTCTCACAGCCAAGAAGTAGGTTTTCTTTGAGCCCATGGATAGTACAAAAAAGAATTTGTATTGGCTGGTCCAGAACTGTATCACACTTGTGTGTGTGTATGTGTACTGCTGTCTGGGCTGGATGAAAGCTATGTAGTTAGAGTGGCACTCTGATCTTAGCATCCACATGGGAAAACCAATAAAAAAACTCTTAGAATATTGTTTGTCTGATTTACTTATACCTGGATATACTGTATATTACAGTCTTTCTGCCATTGAAGATTTACCCTGGCCCAGCTGGTGTGGGTCAGTGTATTGAGCATTGTCCCATGGACTGAGAGGTTCCAGTTCGATTCCCAGTTAGGGCACATGCCTGGGGTTGTGGGCTCGATCCCCAGTGGGGGGGTGTGCAGGAGGTAGCCGATCAATGTTTCTCTCTCACATTGATGTTTCTCTCTCCCTTCCTCTCTCTCTAAAAAATTTAAAAAATAAAAAGATTGTGTCTTCTGTGTCTTCATGATGAGGCTCTCTGCTAAAAAATAAAAATAAAAAATGTTAATGGAAAACTTACTCTATAAAAAAAAAGAAAAAAAACACGTAGTCACAGATGTGAAGGCTTAGAATCCTGATGAAATGTTTTCAATATTCTAATATATTAATCTATCAATAAAAGTCAAAGCGATTTAACCTGTATTTTTATGATAGCAAAAGAATAGGTTCTTCTCTTTGACCCACTATACACAAGTTACCATAAGTTATTTTTCTTTATTGATTTTAGAGAGAGGAAGAGAGAGGGAGGGAGGGAGAGAGAGAAAGAGAAACATAGATGAGAGAACATTGATTGGCTGCCTCCTGCATGCCCCCCACAGGGGATCAGGCAACCAGTCGATGTGTCCTTCTCATATTAATGATGTTTCTCTCTCTCTCCCTCCCACTCTACCTGAAGATAAACAGAAAGATATCCTCAGGTGAGGATTTAAAAAAAGTATATTTATAAAATGTCTGATGAGGTCACATTGGGAAGAAAATAACAATAGTATAATGTTGAGATGACCATTATTTTGGCTTACTTTTATTATTAATTCCAGAAATATACTTAATGTCCAAAATGTGTATGCCAATTGATAATGTACTCAGCAATGTAAGAAAGTGCTTTCTAACCCAACCGTTGGGAAAAACTAAAAAACAAACTCTTCTTCATTATCTGAAATGAGAACAATTAAACTGCCACCTCAAAACATTTTGATAGGTATTTGTGATAAAAATGACTCTCATTTTAAAACTCCCAATTAATGAGGGATAAAGAGGTACTTCATGAACAAGATCAAGAATATCTCTCTTTAACAAAGGAATTCTAAAACTAGAATTATCCCTATTAAAATACCTACAAAATGCAATGCCTTCTGTAACTACCATAATTTTGCTGGAAGTATTAACTAATGCTTTATGTTATGAAGTCAATAATATGAAACAAGGCTTTCATACTATGCAGGTAATATATGCCTCTTTAAGATGAAAACACAAGAGGATTCATCCAAAAAACTGTTAAGAATCAATGAGTAATGTTTCACCCAAAAAACTGGAAGAATCAAAGAGAGTACTAATGACAAAAAACATGCTAAGACTATGTATTTCCTACTACTGCAATAAAGTTTGGAATATAATGGAAAACAAAAGCCCATTAGAAACAGCAATCTATATAACCAAGACAACTTGAATAATGAGTTGTCATTGGAATTGAAGAAAAAAATATCCTAAATTGCCTATATAATAAAGTTTTATTATATGATTTTTAAAAGCTTAAAAATTCAGTAAGAAAGTGAAGATTATTCAGAAAGTGGTGATGATACAATTAGATAATAACTTGAAAAACACATTAAATTTTATACCAGAAGTCTAGTAAAAAGCCATAACTATAATAACAAAATAGTAGGATAATTATACCATCTCATCATCATGGGAAAAAAATTAAGCAAGAAAGCATTTTTTAAATGATTAAAAAAAAAACTAATTTTACTACATTACAAAAAAAGTTATGTTGCCCAGTCAGTGTGGCTCAGGGGTTGAGCATCAACCCATGCACCAAGAGGTCTCCAGTCTGATTCCTGGTCAGGACACAAGCCCAGGTTGTGGGCCAAATCCCCAGTGCAGGGCATGCAGGAGGTGGCCAATCGATGTTCTCTCTCATCGATGTTCTCTCTCATGGATGTTTCTCTCTCTAAAAATCAATAAAGAAAAAAAGTGTATGTTAATACATATACTCAAAGAAAAATGATGAGAAAATATTTGCTGTAAGTAAAGATTAATATTCTTATTAAAATAAAGATTTTTATAAAAAATTTTTCTTTCAACCAGAAAGGAAAGCTATTTAACAGGAGACAAGCAGTTAATGCCACCTTAGCATGTTAAGAATTACCACTGATACCCTGGCCTGTTTGCTCAATGGTTAGAGCGTGGGCTAAAGGGTCACAGGTTCAATTCCCAGTTGGGGGCATGTACCTGGGTTGCAGGTTCCTGGTTGGGGTCCTGCAGGAGGCAACCAATAAATGTTTCTCTCTCTCTCTCTCTCACTCCCTCCTTTCTACTCTATCTAAAAATCAATGGAAAAATATCCTCAGGTGAGAATTAACCAAAAAAAAAAGAATTACCACTGACAAAGCAATAGGATAAAGGGTAGGGGCAAGGAATGTGACATCAGTACTGTACTATGTTAAAAAAAAAAAAAAAACCACCAAAATTATCCCCAAAAGGTCAAAATACAAAAAAAGAGACAAATTTGATCTCAAAAATTAACTAAATAGCCCTTCCTTTGTAAAACTGTAATACTGAGGGGAAAAAAATCAATGCAAGCAAATGCCAGTTAAATTATATTTATTATATAAAGAGATAGTATAACTTGATAAGAAAAACAAAGCAACTCCAATAGGCACTACAAAGGCAAAGAACATGAACATCTGATCGAAGGAAACAAATACTTAACCTTATTAATAATCAAGGAAATGATTGGTATGCCATTTCTTGCTTATTCTATGCACAAGGTTAACAGTAATTTCTATGTTTTCTATTTTCTAAATATACTCAAATGTGTTATTTTTAGTAATAAAAAATTGAGTCATTAAAAAAACATAGAAGTATGAAAATTTCTGCCAATGCAGAAATCATAAAAAGCATTGAAATGAATCAATACTTGTATGGGCAGTAAAGTTCAGATCCCTGGAAGCCAATTCCTTTTGTCTTGGTTCCTGAGTTTCATTATGGGATTGTCAATAACAAGAAGGTTCCTGACTTACACTATGACAATCTCCTAAGTAAAGGGATATACACATACATATGCATGTATGTAAATGTATATATGTAAATTTTTTTCCTCAGGTAGACATTCTAGCAAAGTATTTCAGAATTATTCACTACAGAGGACTCCTATGATTCCATTTGCTGATAAAGCCCCTGGTTCTCAACCAGTAGGGATGCCCTTGGTATTGAAGAGCCTGACGATCAACTTTAGTACAGTACTGCCTGCAAGAAATAGCAGTGCCCTAGGCTTTCTGTAGCTGGCTACTTAGGACATCTGAAGTTGGTCCTGTCCTTTAGACATAGCCAAAAGGACTTTTTTTCCGATTTGATGCAGAACAGAGTGTGTCCACTGCTTGCTCAGATCATGGCCTTGAGGCAGATCACACAAAGCTCAGGATGCACATGGGTAGGAGCAGCACCAGGGCAACCACCCTAAATCAAATAATCTTGTTAGAATGATTAAGTTGGGTGACTAAATTTAAAACCCTATAGCTTTGTTTAGCAGGTTTCTTTCTTTGCTTTTATAATATCATACATTTTCCTGAAAAGGTAGAAAATAGCAGAGCATAAATATACTGAGCAAAGCCAATTCTCTGAAACCTGAACTCTGCTAGGTAATCTGTATAAAAGAAACTCTACAGAAAACAATATACAAGCAGAAAAAGTAATATAAGTTTCATCTGCAGTAACAATTTAGTCAAATGCTAAACCTGGTTGTCAGTTTAATATGTTATAGTACTTATCTATTTCAATTCAGCATGACTATATAGACATTTCTGGTACTGAATTCACATTTGCATAGAAATAGCTGCTAGGTAGAATTTAAACTTAAAAACAATTTCACTCTATTTGACGTGCCAATCAATTTAAAATTATATGTGTGTATGTGTATATATATACATATATATGTATGTATGTACGTGTGTCTATTTTCTCTTTTTCTCACTCTCTCCAGAAAAACAAACTCTGACTTAGGGCTAAACTGATTTTTTCAAGTTACTATTTCTGAATATATTCTCTCTCCTACCTGCCTAAGAAACTTCACATATTCTGAATGCACCCACACAATTTGCTGAGTTGGCAGCTATGTCAAAAGTTCTATGAAAAAAGGGAAGTAGCTAATAATACTTGGAGACTTTTCGTTTATTATTTTAGGTTAGAGCTGGCAGTCTCCCTTTGATGTTCGTAATCAAATCTTTGATGAAAACTTTCAACTTTGAAGCATGATGAACATAATTATACATTTATTACAATCACCAACAATCTGACTTACATAACACCACAAAAAGCCATCTAACATATTTTTACAGATCTTTTTGTTTAACAGCTGGCTATACTGAATATTTTCAGAATGCATTTAACCATTTGATAAACATACTAAGCCAAACAATACAAATAACATCAGTTACCTTTTTATCTAATAACTCAACCAATCATTGGAAGCTACAACTGAAGGGGAAGAAGGAGATCATCCATTATGCACTGCAAAGATAAAACACTTTAGTCCTAGGAATGATCTGAAGGTGCTGAGAGAGGTGATTCTCTAGAAGGTGACCCAGGGTTTTCTTCAGGTGGAAAAACTGTGAGAGTACAAGCTCGAATGCCACCAAGAGACTCTGGAAGGTCAAAAACTTTATGCCACTCATCCTTGTCTGGATCATATTTCTGGACAATTTCTACCATACAACGATTATTCCAAGAATATCCACCTACAACATAGATTTTATTTTCAAAGACAGCAACTCCAACATCACTTTGACCTCTTAACATAGCAGCAATTGGTGTCCACTGGTCAAGGGTTGGTGAATAGTATTCACAGCTTAGAACATCATCATAATCACTTGTTCCTCTGAAGTGATTGCCACCAATGACATAGAGCTTGTCTCCAACTGTACACATGCAATGCAGACCTCTGACTGTAGTCATTGGAGCCTTCTGTGTCCATTTGTCTGTATCTGGGTCAAAACACATGAGTTCATTTTGGAAAGTGTCATGAGTAATTCCTCCCGAAATATACATTAAACCTCCATACACTGTTCCTGCATGGCCATAGTGGGGTTCACTCATTTTTGCAACATAGCTCCACTCATTCATTCTTGGATTATAACATTCTACTGTGGCCAGTTCACCAGCTGCACTTCGCCCACCAACAGCATACAAATGTCCTTTGAGGGCACTCAAGTGGAAGAAGGTGCGCTTTTCATTTAATGATGCAACCTGCATCCATTTATTATACCGAGGATCAAATCTGAAAACTGTATCAACAGCGGTTTTTCCTTTCGTATCATAATTACTTTGACCACCAACTACATAAAGAAAGTTTCCAATGACAGCAATGCCATGCTGGTAACGAGGAGCATCCATGGGGGCTAAAGATCTCCACTCTTGTGCCCTTTCATCATACATCCGCAATTCTTTACTGACAACCAGCTGCTGCCTCAAAACTCCTCCTAATGTAACCAAGTGTGTCGAGTCAGATCGAATGGCTGTTCTATCTGACTGCATCACCGGCTGCATATATGGCATCATTTGGTAATTGCTAGCTTCTAAAAGCAAATTAACACAGGTATTGTCTGTTCTCATGAAATCTACTGTCTGCACATAATTGATGAGGTCCTGCGGGGTCATTAGTGGAAACCGAATATTCTTCATTAATTTTGCAGCATAATCCATCCGAGGGTCTTCCAACCTTAGCCAGCGACAGGCAGCCTTGAAGAGCTCAAGTTCAGTACAGTGCTTAAGACTATTACTGGAAAGCACAAAAGCAAGGCGTTCAAAAGGCAGTTTCAGAAACTCCCCAGTACTCAATAACGCAGGAAAATTCTTCAGAATGAAGTTATTGACATATTTATCCACCTCTATAAGGTTATAGGTGTTAGCTATTCGCCCAACTTCAACACAGTTATCTAAAGAGACTCCTGAAATAAGAAACACTTTACAGAAGTCCAAAACAGGTAAAATTTGTAAAAAGCTGGCAGCTTCAAGTGTGTCCTGGAGAGTGTCCATATTGAGAGACAGTTTTGCAGTATAAATAAAGTCAATTATTTTCTTAAGACCAACCTTGTTCACCCCATGAAGCTTAATACACATTAAATCTTGTTCTTTCATTCCACCTGTGAACATAGCCTTGAAATAATCGCTAGCAGACGCCATCATAGCTCTGTGAACGGGAAAGATTTCCTCTCCATCACCTGGTACCAAAGTCACATCACAAAGCAATCCTTCTATTCTGAGCTGATCAAAGCCTTGCAATACCACCGAACTGTGGGTATTGCTGGTAAAAAAGCGTGTGGTTCCTGCCTTACAAGGCTGTAAATGGGCGGAGACGCCCATTTCTCCGTTACCCAGTGACACTTTCATGGGAAAGCCTCTTGCACAAAGGCGTAGGCCTGAGAAACTGGAATGCTTTCAAGGAAACGAGGTGTCCAAAGAGCAGAAGAGCTCCCTTTCCCTGCCAAGGGCAGCGGGCACCGTGGCAACCCTCAGGCACACCAGTCAGTCATCCACTTTAAATTGTTGTGCAGCAGGGCCACAATGGGCTGTGGACCTCAAATCTGACTGTTATGCAGATGATTCATCACCTGAAGGCGGTTAAGCAACACGGTTCACCTGGTCCGGCGGCCTGCGCTGCTGCTCTTCCAGCAGTTCCGCTCCGGACCGAGGGGGAGGCGCCGCCACGTACTGCAGCTCCGCGGCTCGCTCGGCGGCGAGGCCGGGCACCTCAGCGACCGGCCCGGCCCGTGGGTCCCCCGCTGTCAGTAAAGCGTTGCCGCGGCCACGGGGCTGTCCTGGAGCAAGGGCCTGGAACACAGGCCTGGAATACCGACCTCCAGCCGGACGCCTAGCCGGTCCTTCCGGAAAGGCCTAGTCCCAGGATCCCTCGGGCTAGGAGCGGCCGCAGCAGCTACCGCGACTGCGCAGCCGCCTGACTCGTCAGTGGGTGGCGGGCGTGTGGGGAGGGGGAGGAAGTGCGCAGACGGCGGCGAGGGCGGGGTTGGGGGCAGCCCAGCTGTGTGGGGAGGGCGCGGGCTGGGCCTCTGGGTGAGCTCGTTTGTGGGACGGAATAGGCCGGAATAGGGGCATGCATATATGGTGTCCACTTGGTATAAACTCGTAACAGCGTCTGAGTGCTCCACACCAAAAGTATATTTTTTCTTTACGATTTATACTCTCTGCTTTCTGCCTTTTGAATGACAATGAACTGAGGCTTTTGTATGAGTTGAAAGGAAACAAGGCAGAAGAGGGCATGGGGGAAGATGCTTAAAGTTATTCCTCTATAAAAGACTATAATTTATATCCCACACCATTTCATGGACACCTCAATTATACCCGCGGTTCATATTTTCAAAATTTTAATCATTTAAAATACTATCATTTGTCTCTTTGAATACCAAATTGGGACCATGCTATGTAAATAATACAGCTCATGTTTTTGCCTCTGCTTGGTGTCAGAATTGGGGATGGAAAGACTCTTCTGAGCTATAAACACTCCACACTGGACCTGAAGAGGTACTTCCAAGGAGTGTCTCTATGGTAATGAACGGATAGAGCTGCTGTACCTGGGAAATTGTGAGAGAAAGAAGTCATGGTATTTTTCTCTTTAATATCAAGCTTATAAGAATGGTTAAGAGCCAAGAAACCACTTCTGTGCTCTTAATGAAACAATTATTATAGACCAGTACAATTCATCATTCTCCAATATAGTTAGTCATTTCAAAAGACTATTTTTTTCTGCCTTCATCATGAAATGAAATAAATTAAATTTGTTGCAATACTTATTGGTAGTGCCCCTGACCTACCTCCCAAAATTCAGTTTCACGTGCCCAATGCACTAATAAGCCAAACACTGACACTGGTGTTTGGAGATTGAGAAAGGTTTCAATTTGCCAAAGACAGAGGACGGGAGACGGGAGAGCAAGATCTTTCAACTTTGTCTTCCTCAAAAAGCAAAAGTAGGGAGTTCTATGCAGTAAGGGAGAAGGGGGGGGGGGGGGCGGAGTGTTTAGAGAACCAAGGGGAAAGACTGTGTTTCTTCAGTAACAACATTTTGGGAAAGCAGACTTCTGGCCATCAGCAGCTGGTGGGATCTTTTATTCCTTCTGTAAAACAAACTCATAAATTCTTCTTGTGACCCTGGAGTTATCTCCTCCTGTACGACAAAGAAACAGTACATCAGCAAGTTAAACTTTTATAGTGAAAACAAGGGTGTTGGGTTGAAGGACCAAGATTCTGTACAAATAACTCATAATTGTGTCAGACATATCTTTAAAGCAAAAAGCAGAACTATACATCTGTGACCATCACCATTAAGTTATCCTTGTTTTGTGCTTAACAAGCTGTATTTTCTATTATCTCAAGTAAAGTGTACTTTTAAACATTTCTCCTGGAACTTACTGTACAGACACGCCTTCAGAACATGACTAACATTTTCTTAATCTTTGATTCTAAGCTATGTGACAAGCAAAGCAACTGAAACATTTAGTTAAAGCCTATACCTATTATCTCTAGACTTTATATCTAATACCTAAACATGTTTATTTTAAACTGCTCCTTTTAGTAGTATTACTATAAGTTAAAGGTACTGTGAGTTAAAGCATCAGTACATAAGGGGCATCAACCCATCATAAATGGCCTTTTAATATACAGATCTACTTAATGATCTATTTTACTATATTTATTGTATTTCAGTATTTTTGCATATATTTACCTGTACATTGTGCTAATTACATAAAAGTGTTCCCATTTGTATTTTTAAATTATTTTCTTTATTATTTGAAGTTTTACTTCCAAATCTTTTTGCATTTATTTATTTTTAATAAAGCAATGCCAAGACTGATTTTGCAACTTCAATTGAAGGATGGAGGTGCAGTTCATTTATTCATTTCATTCAAGCTATATGTAATACTTGTGTCTCTAAATCACAGGTCCTATGACTATCTTTGGATAAAAAAAATGAAGAAAGAAAAAGTGCCAGCCCCTCTCAGAACTATAGAAAGTGTAGGCCTCAGTTGGTGAAAGAGAGAGAGAGAGAAACAGAAAAAAAATGTCAAGTACAGGCCCAGACACCCACTTCCTGGAATGACTGGCAGAAGCTTGGCAGGACTCTCTACCTTCACTAGGTAACCTTTGGATTTCTGATACCAGACTGAAGGGGTCCGTTTGCCTGCATGCATCAAAGCCCAATATGGCATGAATGGGAGTTTGCAACCAAGACTAAGGATTTATTAAGGAGGTGGGGCCATGCCCTGAATCACAGCTAGCTAGCTCATGCTCAAAGAACTTGCTCCTCAATGGCTTCCAGGGGATGGATTATATAGGGGGGAAATCATTAATCACGGTGACTAATGGAGTTTGGGTTGTGGTCTCTACTGAGTGGTTGGTACTAGGGTAAGGATAATTAACCACTGCATCAGGCCCTGATGCCAGCCATGGAGTTGCTCTGATTTCACAAGGATTTGCTCTGTGGGGTTATTCTGCTTTCCTGTGTCCAGAGCTAAAATACAGCTGAGGTCAAGATATTATGTTTCACTCTGTCTCAGTAGTCAAAAGGCCCAGGACCTTGTTCCCAAGACTACTGGTTGTTGACCATAACCTCATTGTCCTGAGGGCTTAATGATTAAACATGAAGAGAAGGAGGTGAATGAATCAGGGTCCTAGGTGAGGCCAGTTTGAGGCAAAGGAAAAAAATCGAAGGTCAGATTAAAGAAAATAAGGTTTCTGCACAGTTATATTTCTTAAGTATGTACAGAAGAATAGAGGCACAGCAGGAAGGACACAGAGCAAAGCAGAGTTGATTGCAGTAATGCATCTCACATTCTAAACCATTTTCCCCAAGCCAGTGGTCTTTAGTTTCCCCACACACTTTTTTTTAAAAGAATAGTTTATTGATTTTTAAAGAGAGAGGAAGAGAGAACGAGAGAGAGAAACATCGATGTGAGAAAGAAACATTAATTGGCTGCCATCTGCACAGCCCCCGCCAGGGATCCAGCCTGAAACCCGAGCATTTGCCCTTGACCCGGAATTGAACTGGCAACCTCTTGGTGCACAGACCGATGCCCAACCAACTGTGCCACATCAGCCAGGGCCCCACGTGTTTTCATTTTAAAGTTAGGAAAACAATTGAAGTTTGGGCTCAACTTGCTTCACAAAATAGAAAAAGTGTGATGGTTTAAAAATGGCCACAACTTTGACTTTCTATTCCTTTTAACTTTAGGGGCCACTGTGAATGCTATGACCAATTTGTTTAGCTCAAATACATTCACAAGTAATCTGATAAAGTCCTATAAAAACTCTGGGAAGTGGGCTGGACTGGAAGTCATAAAGTAGGCATGTCTTCTCTCAGGTCTGGGCCCTTTCTACTGTACCACACTGTTCTCCTTGCCCTCTATGAGAGTTGCAGGAGGAGTGGGCCTACTCCCCCAAGGACTGAGGGTTAAGACTTCCCTCTATCCACTCATCTACTGATGCACACTTGATGGACATGTTGTCAATGGACATAGACAACAAAGCTGGGGATGGGGCCAGGCGAAATTGGGAGGAGGGTGATAATGGGAGAAAAGGAGAAACATCTGTAACAAAAACAAATTAATTTTAAAAAATATGTTTGAATTTTTATAAGAAATTAAATTTCCAGTTTTGCAAAATTAAAAATTAAAAAAAGGACTTCCCTCTACCCTGCCCTAAAATGCTTGCTATTGGGATAACTGCCTTGGGATAGACAACAAAGGTGTGTGCCTCATCTTCAAAAGGCCAAGAGCCCAGAGTCTTCCCTCTGCAAATTAGCTGATCAGATTAACTAATGATCCCATGAAAGGTCCAGAGCCTTGAGGCAACAATAAAAGGGGAGATTTCGGGAGCTCACAGAGAAGCACCAGCTGCTTAGTCAGGCATAACAGAAGGCTGGGGGTGGGGGACAGAGGGGCTCAGAGTGGGCATTTGGAATGGGGACCCATGCGTTTTGGTGATGTGCATGCTGATTTAGGACTAGGTGGTGAGAGGCAGCCAATGACATATAAGAAAGAAATAACTACCACTTGGCAGTAAAAAAATCAAAAACAAAAAACATTCAATTCACCTAAACCTGAGTTTCTTGCTGTCTGCCTGCCTGAGCCTTCATGTCCCTATTTGTGAAACGGAGATAATCTCCCCTTCTCGGGATGCTTCCTGATGTTCAGAGAATCAAGAGACATTATGCATGTGAGCACTTGGGAAAAATCAGAGTGCTCTGCCCCTGTTAGCAGTTTTTGGAGGGAGTAGTATGATGTAGCAGAAAGACCTAAGACTAGGTGTCAAAAGTCTGGCATCCTGACTCACCTCCATCTCTGGCTTGTCATTAGACACCAGACAAAATGCTCAACGGCTTCCTTTTCTGTCAAATGAAATAGTAATTGCAGTGCTTTCCTTGGAGGGGTGAAATACCAACAAAGAAGCTTGTGGGAAAGTGCAACACAAACTATTGATGGCTGTATAAACGTCAAGTAGGGTTGGGGTCACAGTGCCTGAGCCTTTCCAGACACACCCTTTTAATTGAACATTGTCTTTTCTGTGACTGAACTCTTCAACATGACCGTTATCATGATCTCATCATTGTTCATAATGGTTTACTTTTATTTACCACGTGAACACATTATCTTGTAGTACTTGTGACTGGCTTCCCAATATGTGTTCCCTCTGAAATTTGCCCACACTATTCACAGCAGTCTCACTCTCTTTGTCATTGTCTGGTCTAGGAATCAGCAGGTGATCCAAGTCCTGGCCACCAAAGCATGGGGCAAGGTCTACTGGGGGTGTCTGGACACAATGTCCTTGCTCTCAATTAGGAGACAGAGGAAGGATACCCGTCCTACCTCTGGTCTCTGGTGCATGGCTACAAAGCCAGCAACAACAGCAGTATCTTGAGTCCATGAGGGGAGCTGCTGCCTT